TTTTCCATTGGTCAGTGTTTATTAATCGACGTTAAGTTATCAGTGCAAAAGAATCAAATCCAGTTCTGAGGTTAAAAATAATTTTTTCTTCCATATAATCTTAAAATTTGCGCGAACGGAGAAAAGCGCACCGATTGGTCTCATTTTCAAATGGACACGAATTCATCGATTCTTGTTAAGGAGGGGAGAGAGAGAGAGAGAGAGAGAGAGGATGGTAGTAAAACTCGAAAGAGTCTCTTTCACAAAAAGAAAACTTGAAGCAATTTCTCGATAAGCGTGCCGATGAAATTCCCCTTTTTAAGTAAGTTAGCCAGATCTTTCTTTAACAAGCTGTCGTTTTCTCTTTACTTGGATACTTTATTACGCATCTCACGATCGATTGATGCTGTAACAACTTCGATTAAAATTGTTTGTATATTAGTATATTATTTTTATATATTATGTATATTATGTTTATTATTTATATTATGTATATTATGTTTATATATTGTATATATATTAGCTTTTAATTTAATTGAACGAAGAAATCAAGGGAAGTGGGGACGATAAAGCACAACGTGCGATTCTTCTCGTTTCAACCGCATCCCTGCCATCTTTTCGTTCTTACCTCGCCTTTTTCCAATCTTATGCAATGATACGAATCACAAGTGTTGTAAAAAAAGTGTAGGCACTCGTTGCTACGACAACTTACGCCTATCGATGAAGTGGAAATTTCCAAAAAAGCCGGTCGCATTAGAGGACGAAGATTGCTGGGTGTGAAACTCCAAAATAAGCGTGGACCTCGAACTGTAGAGGACCTGGGGGACGTCCCGTAGATCCCCGCAAAGCACTCCCGACCAGGGGGTGTACTCGGACACGCCGCTCCCCTCCAAATGTAGAAACACTTTTAAAAAGTCACCACCCGCGCAGCTGAAACACAAATCGAACGCAGAGTTAGCAGTTTTCTTCCTATCTATCGTATTTTCTCGCATCAATCAGGGAAAATATTGCCACGTCTTTTTCCAGAAGAAACTTTATGTGTGTGTGTGTGTGTGTGAGGATGCTAGAAGAGGAAGATGTGTGATTGACGATTGGCCAAGAAATCGATCCAAGAGACAATCCCTCGAGAGAATTCAAATTTGAAGAAGGGGTAGTTTCCAACGAGGGAAAAAGAAACTTAGATTTATTTATATAATTATATTTATACATTATATATTTTATATAATTATCGTGGATTTTCATCGAGAAGAAACGGAAGGAAACGTTAGAACTTCCATTTTAACGCAACGATTTAAACTGAGCTCGTTTAAGAAAAATTGTATAACATCGCTTTGCCCGAGTCGTCATCCTCGAGAAACAATTCTCCACCAACCAATTCTCTTGATATTTTCCATCACAACCGTACGTGATGGAAGTTTAAACGGAGGAAAAAAAGATAAGAAAATAAATGAAAATTGAGAAAGAGAGGAATGTAATATAATTTATATTTATTTATTCTTCGAATTCGTGTACTTTCCCCTCTCAGGTCAGAGATTTGATCGAATCGAATCTCGATAACGGAGATCCATACCGTTATAAGGTTTGCGTATACTCGCTGGAATGGCTAATTGACTAATTAGTCTCGGCAGTGAAACGGAACAGGTGTTCCCAAGTCTGACTGTACACAGATTACGGGAGTTCACGTGCTCCGAGGAGTGTTTCCGATCCCGTGACTTAAAGCGAATACAATGCCGAAATTAGCACGGATTATAATAGAGCCGAGCGGCTTAAAGAGAGAGAGAGAGAGAGAGAGAGAGAGATATTCACAAAAACAATTTGCCGGCTCGTTAGCGGTTGCTAACACGCGAATCCTGTATCACCGTCCATTAGCCACCAATAGGGAGAGAACTTATCCCGTCTACCGAACTTAAATCCCTCTTAAACTTGGCCCGGCGCGAAAAACAGATAGGCAGAGAGTTTATAATTTGGAATCATCGTCGGTCGGTTGGAAATATTATTTGACTTACGGGGAACTAATTACGGGGGTTAGGAGAGAGGGAATCGGTGTCTGGAATTTAGCCGGAGGCTTCGATGATCTTGTTTGCGCAACCTATTCAATCCGAACGATTTCTAATTAACTACCACAGGCAGATCTCTCTCGTGATGATATTCCATTTGTTGCAAACGTACGGTGTATCTTGAAAAGGAAAAGAATATTGATTGAGAATTTTTTTTTTTAAATAGGTTTTTCTTAATAGTAAAGTTATCGTGCGGTAAGTATCGATCGATGGTAAGGAAGGATATTTGAATAATTATCGACCGCTTTCGATCAATTGAATTTCCTAAATTTTTTATTCGTTTTTAAAAAGATAAATCTTCTAATAAAGTAAGCAGTGAATTATTATTCGTAGTTCGTTAATAACGAACGATCTATTAACGCAACAATTTATAACGCAAACAAGCAATTAAAGTAAAAAATTTAGCAGCACCTACCAGCACCATATCTTTCACGCTTTGCACGTGTCCCATCGTACATATTAAAACGCTCTTTAATTTTATTTCAGCCGTGGTATAATAAACTGCTGTTACATGTAATTCATATCGCGTGAGAAATAACATATGCGATTCATGGAGGGATGCGTTCCGTTTCGCAAAATATTTATGCAAATTAATACGTGGCAAGTATGCTTTATCGTTCTTTTTGTATACCCTCGTATAAAGCTTTATATACGTATGCCCGTGACGTTCAGTACCGAAAGTTCGGCTACAGG